AAATTTATTGGTATAGGTACTCTTTTAAAAATTTTTATGGAAGTATGTTTGAGGATAATATAATAGTAATGAGCTATAAGGCTTTTAAACCTCCATCCAGTCCTTTCAATTTTTTAGGGTTAATTTTCATTAATCATTTTTACTAAGCACGTCAAATTAAATTCAAATAGGTAGCTTAACAACCATCTATTTTTTCAACTAACTTTCAACAACTTGCATTAGTTATTGTCAGCTTATTAGTTATAGTGCCAACTAGCTTAGAGTATCTCAACAAAATGGTTTATTTTTCAATTTGTTTCAGTTCGGAAAAAGATGAAGGGAAGAAATAAGAAAGAAAGAAAAGTAGTTAACTGGCTCCTAAGGGCATCCTCAATAGTGAGAATTTTGGTGTAGTTTTTGAATGTGTGATTAGAAAGAGAAATGAGTGAAAAGAGAAAAAATAAAAAATTGACAAAACTCACCCAAAATCCTTCAAAACCGAGTTTTACTACATAGACTCGCAAAATTCTACTTCCTCATCTATACTCCCTGAGGTGGCAAATCAGGATTTTGATTATTTTCATCTTGTGGGTCTGCAGAAAAATGTCTACAATCAAAAGCATGTGAGAAGGAGTAAAAGTTGGGAGTTTAAAATGGGAGTAACCCTCAAAAACTCCCAAAATTTCTGACAAACCCACAAGCTTGCAGGAGCAACTCAACCCTCTCTCTCTTCTCTCCTTCACATACTCATTTTTTTCTTAATTTTTGTGCAAAATCTCCTTGTTAGGGTTGCCCTAACGCGCACCAACTAGCTTCTTTTTCTTTTCAAAAAAATTACAATACAGCCCTAAAAAACTCACATTCATTCAACATACTCAATTTTCTATTTCCTACATTATATTCTCTTCTCTCTACCTCACCAAAAATTTAAAATTTAAAAAAAAAACACACACACAATAAGGCCTCATAGGAATGCACTTATGAACTTTTTTTTGAAAGTTACTGGCTCTATCCGTTCATATACTTTCTCAACCTACTGAAACACAAAGCAATAACGCCTCCAGTGAGGCTTGAACTCATAATCTTCCAAATGGAAGTCCAACCCGGATACCATTAGACCACATAGTCCTGGTGCACTTATGAACTTAGTTATACCAAAACATTAAACTAACCATAAATTCCAGCGAAGCATGCATGAATGCAAAATGAGGATATCTGCTACCTCTCTGATCGGGAGATTCCTTTGCAAACAACAACAACAATAATAATAATAATAATAGAGTAGAGGAGAGTGGGGCATTTGGTAGCAATGTCTCACTCTTCAGTCTGCTCCTACCTATGGAATATAATTTTTTTTTTAGTCTGTGAAGCACAAGGCTGTCCTCTATCGCCAAAGGAATCAAAAAGAACATTCTTTGCTCAGAATTGAAGCATCTCCTTTAACTCACACGGACGCACAACCCCAAATCACCCCTCAATAGATACATCGTGGTGAGCTAGTTAAATTAAATGACGATAATTACTATTTTATGTTTTAAAATTTCAAGGCAGAATTAGGTCGCAATGTGAAAATTTAATTTTAGTCACGAACATTTGGGTTTGGAGTTTGCTTATAGTTAGATTGACTCAATTTACCTCATCATTATCATAGAGATATGTTTATGGAGTTCAAGATATAATTTGATAAACATGAAAATTTTGAGTTATAAAAAAAATAATAAAGTTGTATAAAAACAGGAAATTGACCCAATTAGGATTCTAACTCCAAAAAAAAAAATGACTGGCTCTGCCTCCGTCCTCCACTAAGGCTCGATCTCATGACCTCTCATACAGGAGAGGTCACTATATGTCATTTGAGTACAAGGTGTTTGCCATGTTTTTTCAATACTTAAATAATATATTTTTCTTGAATACAATGTATATTTTTAATATATTAAAAGTACTGATGCGAACCTGGTTGGTCCGATCTTCTCTTCACACTTGAATTACAAAAAATATTGTAGGATGGTTTATTCGGTTGGGTGAATTTGAATTGAAGGTTTGATTTAGGTTGAGAAATGGGTTAATTTTTGGGTTTTGATAAGTCCTTGACCACACCGGGTTATACAGTGATACGTAGGATTTAGAATGACGCCATAAGTGGGGTTTTGCACTTGATAAGTCAGGTTTGCCATGACCAACTCACGGCCAAACTCATTCCGAGTTTCATAAAACACTTAATTTTCTAATTCAAAAATTCTCAACTCTACATTTTATTTGGCATGCAATGGCCTTCAATAGCCATTAACAAACATATTACAACCACACAAATCATAAATGAGATAATTTAAAGATTTTTTTTTTGAATGCTACTAGCTAATTCAAAAATTCTCAACTCTACATTTTATTTGGCATGCAATGGCCTTCAATAGCCATTAACAAACATATTACAACCACACAAATCATAAATGAGATAATTTAAAGATTTTTTTTTTGAATGCTACTAGCTCTATTACATTGTAGTAATATATACTTTCTCCATTGAGGCTCGAACTTACAACCTTCTAAATGAAAGTCCAACCCGGATACTATTAGACCACATAGTCCTGTTAAAATAGTTTAAAGATAATCATCCTAATTAATTAATAAATTAATTAATATAACTAATTCTAAAATATTTTCAACAATTCACGTGGCCACAACAAGTACGTTATTTATGTACTAAATATACATTATTTGATAATATGATTTACACAACTGTACCAATCATGATCCACATACATAATAATGATGGGAAAAATGATGCTCCGTATTAATTAGTTTTGTTATTTTGTAGATAAATACAAAGCACATAAGAAAACGTGTGGCGTGTGTTGCCATTCCATCATTTAATAACAATCTTAAACTTGAAGAAATAATTTGTACGTAACATGACTTGATTGAATGCATGCTACACCGATATGAAAAAGGATGTTTCTTTAAAACATCGTATCCTGTTTGTCATAAATTCAGTAATAATAATAATATTTACACCCAAATTTAGATTTATTGTGTTGGCTTTAAACTCACTATTCAACTTTGAAATTTAATTTCGAGACACATTTTTGAAACGATCTATTTTTTTTTTTTAAATGGTCAAACAAACACGTTTCTCATTTTTTGATTATTTACAAAATAACCTAAATTTGTTTTAGCAACTTTTGTTCTATTAGGAAAAAAAAACCATCGAAACATTTACAAAATGGAGTTTTGGAGAGTTTCGAAAATGCAACGCTTGCAAGATGGAGATACAATAAGTCAATAAGGGGCCGTTTGGTTCACGGAATGTCAGATTACCTTAGGGAATGTTGGATTGCTGGGAATGTTAGATTGCTGGGAATGTTAGATTCCTGTGTTTGGTAAAAACTGAGATATATAATATAAACATGTTTGGTTGAAGTATTGTTATTTATGTTATAATGATTATTTTACTTTAATACCCTCAATATATTTTAATGCATTTCAATATTCCAATGCATATAACCATGCAAAATTTGATATATATATATATATATATATATATATATATATATATATATATATATATATATATAATTAATTAATTTTCATTCTTTCATCCGAAAAGTTGACTCGTGACTTCATACATACAGATTCTTTAATTTCTACAAATTCAAATGTGGCTTCCACAAAGTTGATTTTTCATGTTAAGCAAAGTGAACTTAGCTTGCTTGCTTTAACCGAAAGGTTAATTTTTATTTTTTTATTTTTTTTTATTTTTTCGGTAAAAAAACAAAGCAATGTGATGGAAAATGAAGGGCAAAATTAGTAAAATGTCAAGGGAATCTTTTAATACCTAAGAATTCTAAGGGAATCACATTCTCTTCAAAAGAGGGAAAAAGATGATGTGGAGGGTAAATTTTATTCCATGGGAATGTTGCATAACTCCAACCAAACATAGGAATCTTATATAACCAACCAAATATAACCTTGGTTATCTTAGATAACCCGAACCAAACGCCCCCTAATACTTTCCTGAAGTTCCCGTGCATTGTATGTAGTTTATTGACATTTTGAATTGAATATGAAACATTTTTAAAGTTGATAAGTAAAAAATGAAATTATAAATGCTATAATACATTTTAAATTAATTGAACAAAGTGACATCAATCAATACAAAATTGCCCCATTTTATTGTGTCTATTTTTTTTTTTTTATAACAAAATTACAACTTGGACTCTACAATTCTACTCCTAATTTTTACTCTCGCTGAGTGATTAAATTTTATTGGAGAAAAAAAACATAATATATAAAAATCACAATCCCTTTATATTAAGTAATCAAAGCATGCCACAAATTAAGGAATAGAAAATGATAATATAGAATGAGAGTACATGTAAAATTACTCTTTTACCAACTACCATGTAGTGTGATGTCATTCCGATTACCATTTCAAATAGGTGGTCATAGGTTCAAACTCCCGTGACAGGAGTTTAGATTCTTAAAGTATAAAATAAATATTATTTTATAAAGAATCATGAGTATTTAAAAAAAAATGTATTCATATACAATTAAAATACAGTTCCCTCACAAACGTTACTCAAATTCTTAAGTCATGCCACTAATTATAATTTAAATTTAATACTATACCAAGTAAATCTCAAAAAAGACGATCGGGTAAATATGTATGACTTTAATATTTAAATATTCTAAATTTAATTTGTATCAATAATCAAATTCATAATTTTCTTAACAGAAAATTACTATGCGTACTCATATTTTTTACTCTCATACACAAAATATTGATGTAGATTATTGAAACTTGCATAAGAAAAAATAGTTTATCAGCATTTATCACATCAGAAAGTAAAATTTAGAGAATAAAATTTGAAAATATATATAGTAAACTTTTATACCACCTCTATCAAGATTTGAATCTATAAGTTTAGGGATTTACACGTGGCAAAAGATGGGAAGTATTCTTTTGAACAGGGCGTACGGTGACAGAAACCGAAGGCACATTATAATTGGAGTATTGGAGCCACCCTGTCTTCGACTACACGCCTTCCCTTCCACTCCCACTTCCCCTTCCCTCTATCATCATTAGCCATGTCTTCTTGTCTCCACTCTTCTCCCGCTTTCCTCCCCTCGCCCATCACCGCCCCTCTCTCTCCCTCCTCCTATCTTCTCTGTATTGGCGGATATGCCAATGCTTCTTCGCGTCAGCACCTACCCAAACCCCACAGAGACTCTACATACGGGTCCTTGTGAAAAACCCACAATCTTTTTCTATTTCTTTTGCTTTTCTCTACGCCGGTTGCGTGTCGCGGCTCGTTTGTTTCTTTAGCTTTATATATACCCACTTTCAAAAAATAAATAAATTTGTAATTGATACTTTGGGACCATGCTTTTGCTCTGCTGTGTTGGGGGTTTGAACAGGGCTAAAGGCGATTCGGTCTTAGCTGTAAGGGCGGTGTGGGGTTCATGGGATCATTGATTATTACTTATGATCTATGATTGTAATTAACCCGGTAATTCTGGTGTCAATTCGGGTTGACTCTCTGCGACTACAATTGGACTTGCAGTTTACGTGTTTGGTGGGCTGTCTTTTCCTACTTTGCTTGCTTCTGGGGAATCGCGTCGTGGGTTGAGAAGTTGTTTACAAATTTGAAGTGAGGGGCGCAGAAAGGAGGAATCTTTATATGAAGTAAAGGAAGGTTGAGTGGGCGGATCAGTAATGGCACCTGCTGGGAAGGTTACTTCATTCTATCGTCAGGGAAATGACTGGTATATGCTCTTTCCATTTGCTATATGTACATGTTTCCTTTTTTCTTTGTGTGCTGCATATTTTCTGCAAATCCAGTTGCTATATAATATTTAAGTGTTTTTTGAGGAAATGGTGGGTCAATTGTGTCTGCTGTCACAAGAAGACATTTTTGTTTTTATTGATCACTTGTGGTTAGAGTCAATGATAGGACTGACCAAGAAACTACTCGGGTGGCTTGCGATTTACCTCCTCTAGGGACTCTTGGGCGGACAAAAGGTTCTGGAGGCTTAAGATTAGTCTATCATAAGCTAGGGTGGGCGCGGGCAGGGTTTTGGAGGCTTAGGATTAGTCTATCGTAAGCTGGGGCGGGCAGGGTTCTGGAAGCTTAGGATTAGTCTATCCTAAGGGGCGGGCAGGGTTCTGGAGGCTTAGGATTAGTCTATCCTAAGGGGCGGGCAGGATTCTGGAGGCTTAGGATTAGTCTATCCTAAGCTGGGGTGTGTAGGGTTCTGGCTTTAATTTGGGCTTCATGCTCCCTTTCCCCAAATGGGGAAATGATAATATGTTAAATAAGATCATGAAGTTAGAAGTTGTTACATTACAGTATTCTTCACTACAATTGATGAACTTTGATGCATTTGACAGGTTTTGCAATGCAAGTTTGCCAAGTGATATTTCTTTGATTGTAGATGGAGTGAACTTCCACCTTCACAAGGTATTCCTAAATCTTTTTCTGCTAATACATTTGGATTTCTTAAACGAGACATGTTTGGAACATAACTATTGTGTTTATGCATCTTTTTTGTATTATTGTATATGGGATTTGTTCTCTTATATTTTACTATTCAGTTGTTCTTCGGATGTTCATATTCATGTGCACATGGAACTTAGGATCTTATTCTCACAGAAAACCATTTTGTTACTTCTGTATATCATAGTTGGAGAGGTCGAAAACTTAAAATGAAAGGATATCAATAATAGTTATACTAAAGCTAGATGGCTTAGAGCATCCTAAACTTAACCGATGCATTTGCAGAGGCTAAGATTGATGGTATCAATTCCTTTCCCATAAATAAATTCAGCTTTTATAATCACAAACGATTGGTAAAATCATGTGAATATTTACCTTTTTTCATCCAATATGTTGTTCAAGTTCAGTTTTATTCCGGTGTAATGTATGATACTCTGAATTCTAATCTAACAACTAAGAAAATGCTTACTGTTCAGTTTCCACTTATATCAAAATGCGGGAGGATATTTAAAGCACTCGAAGAAGCTCAAAGTACCAACGGACAGACTTCTGCAACGAGACTAGAAGACTTTCCTGGTGGTGCTGACATATTCTTGATCACCGTAAAATTCTGTTATGGTTGTCGGGTGGAATTCACTCCGAGGAACATTGTGATGGTTTATTGTGCAGCGGACTACCTAGAAATGACAGATGAGTATGGAGAAAATAATTTACTGTCCAAATCAGATGATTACTTTCATAAGAACATATTAACGAACTGGAAAGATTGCATTTTGGCTCTCCAAAGCTGTAACTCCATGATTCCAAGAGCGATCAAACTCGAAATTATTGGCAAATGTTTAAATGCTCTTTCGGTGATGGTCTGTACAGATCCTAGTTTGTTCGGATGGCCTATGCTGATGTATGGAAGCTTACAAAGCCCGGGAGGTAGCATCTTGTGGAACGGCATAAACACCGGTGCGAGAATCCAAAGCACAGCATCTGACTGGTGGTTCGAGGACATCTCGTATCTTAGTGTCCCGTTATTCGAGAGATTAATTCAGACAATGGAAACGAAAGGTATAAGACCCGAAAGCTTAGCGGGTGCTATAATGCACTATTGCAGGAAGTATCTCCCGGGACTGGGCCGATGGCAAAGTGGACAAATTGTTACGAGTAGAACTGTTGCGAGTTTCAGCATGACACCCGCTACGGTTGATCAGAAGGTTCTTCTCGAAAGCATAGTGAAACTTCTCCCTACAAAGAAAGGAAAGTCGTTTTGCCGTTTCCTATTGGGCCTTCTACGTGTTGCCTTGATCTTGGGTATTAACCACTCGTGCCAGGAGACTCTGGAAAGGAGAATAGGAATGCAGCTCGAGCTGGCAACATTAGATAGTTTGCTGATACCTTCGTATTCGGATTCCGATACGTTATATAATACTGATTGTGTTGAACGAATGATTCGTCACTTCATCTCGGAGCCAGCGGTCACTACGGTTTCTCCATCTTCATTTGATTTGGGAACGTCGCCATCATCTGAACCTCTGCGCCGAGTTGCGAAGTTGATGGATGGTTATATTGCGGAGATTGCTTCGGACGTGAACCTGAAGCCTGAAAGGATACGGGCACTGGCTGAAGCCTTGCCAGATTCTTCAAGATCTCTTCATGATGGACTGTACCGAGCTGTGGATATATACTTCAAGGTTTGTGAGGTTTGACATTTATGTTAGGATCAAACACTTACTACTACGCCAAAAGCTACAGCTAGTAGCGAAGGCGCAACTTCTTTTTTTTTTTTTTTTTTTGTCAGTCCTGAGGGCAACTTTAAGCTCGTACCATACTCAGACTAATCTCCATTCGCACTGGGCCGGCCCAATTAAGGGGCAAAGTGCTGGCCAGATTGGTTTTTGCCCTAACTGTAGGGGGCAACTTTAAGCCTGTACCATACTCAGACTAATCTCCATTCGCACTGGGCCGGCCCAATTAAGGGGCAAAATGCTGGCCAGATTGGTTTTTCCATACAAGACGGGATTCGAGTTCCCGACCTCTCTTAAGGAATGAGAGTGTACGGCCAGTCACGCCAACCAAGCTGGTTAGCAAAGGCGCAATTTTATTTTCTTATAGACTACCATCACATTTTCGAGAGACGGGGTCTTGGATTTGGTCCTTCACCGACCTCCATCGAACAATTCCCCTATGTGAATGACTATACCACCATCTAGTTATTAATGGCATGGATATGCCATTTGTTGCTAATAATTTGACTGCAAACTGATAGGTTTCGTGAGAAAAAGTTATCTTCACATGTTTATGCTTGTCGATGTTGGTATGTGAATGACTATACCATTCCATCTAGTTATTAATGGCATGGATATGCCATTTGTTGCTAATAATTTGACTGCAAATTCTTTGCTTCCTCTTCCCACACATAGAAGCCTTTAACCTTTCTTTTTTGACACAAAAGTATTATCAAGAAGTAAATCAGCATAATAGACATTGTTTCTTGACGAATTTAGATAAAATTTTGCAGGCTCATCCTTGGCTCCCGGATAGAGATAAGGAACAGCTTTGCAACATCATCGACTTCCAAAAACTCTCAATCGATGCTTGTGCGCATGCATCTCAAAACGAAAGATTGCCTCTTCGAATAATTCTCCAAGTTCTATTCTTCGAGCAGTTACAGTTAAGAACCGCATTAGCTGGTTGCCTCCATGTCTTGGACACGGAAAGTGCTAATGCTGCTCCCGCTGCTGGTCCAAGCGACATGGCGGGCCATATTGTACAGAGAGACGGGTGGGTGACCGTTGTGCGTGAAAACCAGGTCCTTAGAGTGGATTTGGAGAGGATGAGGTCTCGAGTTGGAGAATTGGAGGAAGAGTTTAGTAAGATCAAGCAAGAAATGAGAAAGGTGTCGAAATCACATAGTCATCTAAGTTCTCCCCGCTTCCTCGCCCGGAGGATGGGGTGCAAACTGCTCCCCCGATCTTCTGACGCTCAACCAGACGTTATTGGAAGCACGGGACCCACACCAAGAGCGTCGGTTGAGCATCCTAGAACATCCGGGGGGCATCGGAAGAGTTTCTCGTTGTTTTGAGCATCATTATGTGAAGAAGTGCTTTGAAAGGTAATGGCTTTTGCAAATGGAGTATCAAGGAGCCAAGAGAATTTGTTTTTGGTTATATACATACCTGTACAGATGAGTGTACATTTCAATGTTATTAATTGGTATGGAAAATGCTATTTGCACACAAAAATTTTATAGGCATTGATGTGGTCTCATAGTTTTTGGTTAATACATACCTGTACAGACCACACCAGCATGCCAAAATTGTGTTCAAAAATTTGTGTGCATTTAGCATTATCCAATTAATAGTTTGTGTTATTTGTTTATTCTATGTTTTGTAAAAAGAAAATTGAATGCATTATAGGGATGTCCAACTATGGCTCGTTTTGTATATAACATCCAGTATTTTAAGAGCTATTCTTCTAACGTTTGGTTCATGGAATAAGTCAAAATTGAATAATATTATTGTGAATAGACTTATTTCATTATTTCTTTTGTAGTTTTATTCTCATAAATAAACAACATTTTTTTAGGATTGAGTGAGTCGGTCTTCAGTTTTCACCCTTACCTTTACACTCTGTGCATAAAGAGTTTTCATCATATCTAATCAATTTTTAGGGTTTTGGGTCTCTTATGACTCATGAGTGTATAAAGAGTTTTCATCATATCTAATCAATTTTTAGGGTTTTGGGTCTCTTATGACTCCTATGTTTTTAATAGGAATCAAACCCTCATGTCATCTTTAGTGAGAATTGGACACTCACCCTACCGTTGAATCAAGACTTTCCGGATGACCTTTGAAGCATTGAGCTAAGTCTCATGGGACCCATTTTTATTACTTAAACTAATCAAACACATTAATACAATTCATAAAATTGTATTCCTAAAATTTATTCTTTCAATCTTTCAAAAAAAAAATTATTCTTCCAACCAGTCAATCAAATGAATATAATTCATATTTTATTCTTTTATCTATTACATTCCTTATGAAATAACATTCATATTATTTCAACATTTATTTTGTGAACCAAACATGCTGTAATAGTTACAATTTATCAATTACTGTAATAGTCAATTATTCTAAATTATTTAATTGTGGCTCTAAAAATTTGAATAAAAGTTAGATAGTTGTTGGTTTAACATCAAGCATAGGTTATAGGTACATAGTAATGTTGTTGCCTCTCTGGACTCAGGTCATTAATAACTACTCGATCAGTGCATTATATTCCTAGTCACAATTAGCATCTTCAAAATTTTCATCCTCGGGTACCCCACCAAGATAGACAGCATAATTACTGGCTTTACTGCTGTAGGAGACTAGCCGACTAGGAGGAGAATGTGGTCAACTATTCAAATAAATAGTAAGGACTACTTTTTTTTTTCTTTTTTTTTTTTTAATTATTTGCTTTAAATGATGGAATGAACTTTCACAGGCCAGTATATGCCCCAACTGATACATAAAGTTGAAATCAATCAACCTATAACACAACTACATGTTTTAACTTAAATAAATGAATGTTTGGTAAATAGCTATTAATTGATTAGGGTTAGTGGATTTGACTAATTGATAACATTAGTTGATTAGAAAAGTGTTTGGTAAATTAATTGTCAGTTGATAACTGATTACATGCAAAATGACTTTTTCAACAAGTTAATTGAAAAAGCTACGTTGAGTAGCTTTTTTAATTTTAGCATTTTAGAGCAATAAGTTGTTATACAAAGCTAATTAATCAAATATTCATATTGATTGGTTAACAAAGTCAAATAACTAATAGTGGTCAAATAAGTGAAAATTGACTAATAAGCTAACTTAATACTAATTTACAAAACATTGGTTTCAAAATTTAATACTAATAATTTAGTTTTGTTTTAGTTACGTTAATAGTTTAATGGTTTATAATTAGACTATGTTTAGCAGGAAGTTAAGAATTGTTGTAAAAAGATTTAGTAAAATTAGTTGCTAAGTAAACTTATATAAATGTAAAAAAGACAAAATGATATGATATATTATGAGTTAGATGACAAATTTGAGCTAACAACAACAATAATAACAAAGAGTTACAAGTATATATGAACTAATTACACAAAATATGAATGGTGTGTCTACTAATTAGAAAAAGTGAATCATTTTTTCTAGAAAAATGAATATTTCTTTTACTTATCATTGATCTAATTTGAGAAATGGAGAACATTCTCTATTTTTATATACCTTGAAGAATCCATTTGATATGTTCTTTAATTATGGAGAAATGGATGAGTAAACATGCTATTGAACCCTAACAATAGCGTTTTCAATTCCTAGCTTCCCCTCTCCCTTTTCGTATTTAGCTTTCTCTATTGTCATAATCTCCAGGCTTCTCTCTAGCTATACATGGCTTGCTGTCTAGCTATTATCCTCACTCCTCATCTTTCTTTCCAACCATTGTCGTTGGCTTCGCTCTAGCCTTTGTCTCTACTTTTTTATTGGTCATCGTCTTTGACTTTCTCTTAGTCTGTTGTCTCTATATTTCGCTTAAGTTGTCTATATATGCACCTTTTTCTTTGGACACTGTCATCAACTTTCACTCCAACCATCATCTTTGACTTTCTATATGGTCTTTATCCTCAAATTTTTTTATCCGCCACCATTCCTAATTTCTCTAGTTTAAATTTATTCTTTCAAAAAGGATGAACCTCAACTCTAAGGGCCCCCCACATCCCGACCCGACAGAGCATTTGGGAGGATATAAATCATGGTAACTCAATTGAAAATGAATTTGGAAGATTGTAGAAATAAAAACTAGATAATGAAGTAAATGGATCAATTTTTACAAGAGGGAAAAAGTAAACAAAAAAATTCATAATATGGTTTAGGTAGTAAGATTTATTGGAGATAAATGTATAATTTTACTGAATATAACTTGTAACAGTATATTACATAAGACGTTACTGAATTTATTATCAAAACTCAAGAGAAAATGTAATCAAATTATTATGATAATAACTAAAATTGAAAATATCATCATAATTGACGAAAAGTTAAATAAAAAATTTGAATAAACTAAAAGTCAATCCATGGAGATTATTTCCCAAGTACGAAAAAAAGACATACTGAGACAATGTTTGTTAGACGAGTTAAGCCGCAATAAGGTAAGGTGAAGATGAATTTTGATCATTAGTCTAAAAATCAAAGTATAGTGGATGTGGGGGTTGTTGTGAGGTGTGCTATGATAGGTATGCTGTTTACATGTTTTATCTATAATATTAGTTATTGCGGTGTTGCGGATATGTTGGGTGGCGGCTCATAGAACCAAATCCAACATCCTATCATCGAAATGTGGAGCTGACTGTTATGCAAGTACAATAAAATAAAGTTATCGCTATTACTTAATTACTTATAACTTTTGGGAGTGCTTAAGGGCATGCAATTTGTGTGGGGGCCACTGCTGGAAAACAGCGATTTTCCGACCACCAGAAAGTGGTCGGAAATCACTATAATCACGACGGAAAGCACTGTTCCGACCAATTTTCCGACCACTTTGGGGATCCGGAAAATCGCTTGTCGGAAATTCTGACCATTCTAATCAATTGGACGGAAGTTCCGACCACAATAATAGGTCGTCGAACATTTTTGGTCACATGCAAAAGGGGGCTGACCATGTATTTCCGACCATATTACGGTCGGAAATTTCCGACCAACCACCAAATGGTTGGAAATCACAATCCGTTGACTATAAGGAATTGCAATTTTCCAACCACTATTTGGTCGGAAATATCTATCCCTTACATTTATGGGTTGTGATTTCCGACCACCAGTGGTCGGAACCCAAATGTCAAAAATTATTTATAAAAAGAATTTCACTGTTTTTAATTTACCCTGCAATAATAATTTTTTTAAAAATAAAAATACTTTTATAACAATGTAACATCACCAAAAACTAGCAATTTTATAATAATGCAACTTCACATTTCAAAAAAAGTAGCTACTTCACATTTCAAAAAGTAGTAGCTACTTTACAATCCTAAATATTTTCACCATTTACATTTCAAAAAAAGTAGCTACTTCACATTTCAAAAAGTAGTAGCTACTTTACAATCCTAAATATTTTCACCATTTACATCACAAGTACTTAGTCAAAAGATTACACTGGAGATTGGGTATCACCATTGACATTGATATTATCTAAACCAATACCATCACTTTGAGTGTCATGAGCTGTAGGAACAACAGATTGTAACAATTCCGGATGTGCACCACATAACAACTCCATAATCTTCTTGTTTTGCTCCAAAATCTCCTTGTTGCTTTGCTCCAATTGTTTAATTCTCTCCTCACAAGCTGAATGTGAGGATGGTTCTCCATATGTAGATTTTTTTCGCCTTGCCACCTCGGGGAAGTAATGTTGGGTACTTGATCCAAACCCAAAAACAGAACCTCCCTTCTTCAAGCCACCTGTTGCCTCATACCAAATAGTTGCTGGTTCAAGTTCTGGTTGACTTTGTTGTTTTTCATTTACAATCTCCTATATTAATAAACAATTAAAATCAGAAATGCAATTAAGCACAAATTTAAATTTTATTGAAAAATTTCAGTAAATGCAATTAATTCCACTAAACTGAAAGGAATTAATTCCAGTAAGGAAACTGGAATTAATTACTTCCAGTTCTAATGGAATTAATTCCAGTGAACTGGAAGTAATTAATTCCAGTTTTCTTACTGGAATTAATTCCTTTCAGTTTACTGGAATTAATTCCACTAGAACTGGAAGGAATTAATTTAAGTTTAGTTTACTGGAATTAATTCTAGTTTCAGCTTTCAGTAAACTGATTCTCACATTCAACATTTCCTCTACTGGTGGGAACTAATTTCCTCTATATTCAACATTTCGATCAATCATAAATAGAAGCAAAAATTCAAGATAGCCAAACAATAGAATCAAATCATTTTCTCGTTATATAGAGGACAACATACAAGTTATCAACCTTAATATACAATACTCATAATAAGCTAAGGTTACTCAATACTTATTGTGCAAAGATTAAAACCTAACAGTGAACCACACTTCAATACTTAACTAGTAGCTTATAATGGTCAATGGTAATCAAAGTTAGATTATAGGAATTGAGATGCTCACCACGACTTGTTGGGCTTTTTTGCACACAAACTCATCGGTGTTTTTTCGTTTGTGTGTAGCTTTGAACAGGATTGCATGGGATGGCTCCTCTCCAAGCTTTTCTTTCTATCCAACATCAATAAACAAAACATTAATGTTGTTGTTAAACTTTAAATTGTATTTAGATATTAATTATTAAATGACTTACTAATCTTCGTCTGTGCTCGGTCATTGGGATTGAACCTCCAGTATGCAACGAGGGTCCCATTCCACCGCAATCTGAATTTCTATTTTTCTT